CATCTTACTAGTGTTCCTTTGATTATGACACAAGAATCATTCAAACAGACCTTGTGGTTGCAGATAAACTCTGGTTATTATGGGATGTCATTGAGCTCAGGGCTGAGCAGGTTAAAGTCCTACAACTGTGTTTGTTCATGTGTGTTCATGTCACGCCTGTGCAGCAGTGAGTGGGAGGACTGAGGCCACATACAGCAGCAGCTACAACTCCCTGCTGGAAACAGAGCAGATATTGGATCAGACCTCCCAGTCCTTCTTGGTGAACTGGAACACCCACCGTGGTCCAACTCATATCTGTCTATTGAAAATGTAGGATGCATTTGCAGCATGTTTTTGAGGTTTTGTTCCTTCCCCCATTGACCGCTCAGAGAGAGTCCAAAGGCAGCTCTGGGTTGTTGAGTTCTCTGTTGAAAATTCATAGCGTCAGTGTCTCTGTGGGCCGGTGATGATCAGATGATGATCAGAGAAGATCGAAGACTTCAGAGTCTGATGTGAATAATGTTTATTCAAAACACAAGTTGTAAGAACAAACAAGCAAATTGTCGAGATTTTAGCTAAACATACGTTTACATTTCCTCATATACCAATACAAACTTCTCCCAGCTCTCCTCCTCCTGAAAAGCCCGACCCATTCTCTTTGACACCAGTCAGAACATCGTAGTCAGCATTAAAATCCTCCTCCTTTCCCCCTCAGCCACTGACGTTCTTTTTTCCTCTTCTCTTGTATTCTTTGATCGGCCATCATGACCGTACCTTCACCTCACACCAGGTGTGTTTCAGGCTCTGTTCATTGGCTCGGAGTTTACACAGGTTGGCTCAGTGTATTCATGAATGCAGTTTACACTTCATGTTTCCAGTCTTACTGTGTGTTTTAATCACGATTAAGGGTTTTAGCCAAGGAATGCTGTTTATACTGTAGCTCGTTCCACTTTTGTGTTTAGAAGGTTCTCTGTTTGGACAAGCTGTGCAGTTTTTATTCTGTCGTTTCATGTTTGCTCGTGCTGTCTTGTTAATTCTTAATCTGGAGTCCTGTTTCCCCCAAAACAATAAAAATAACAAACAAGTGTTTTATAAGAACAACAAATCCAGGATGGGCTGAGTTATGCAACACCTTCAGAGCGGCCACATTCAAACACCAGGACGCGATCACATCGGAGCGCCACAGCTCCAGCCTGTTTGCTCAGTGCAGCCGTGAGCAGGACCCGTATCACCGGGCAGCGCTGAGCTCAGAGCAGCTGGCTGATAACACTTTTCCCCGGTGCTGATATAAAGGCTGCTCCCGATCTGAGCCAGAGGACGACGGCACAAAGACGGCAGCAGGTTTTCACTGTAAAGCTTTACAGTCCATCAGCAGCTGTGAGGCTGCTGGAAAATTAGCTCCTCTTTCACAATTAAACCAGCGCTTCAAGGTTAATTCATCTGAAAATTACAATTAATCATTAAAATGACTGTAAGATATCCTGTCAGATGATATTTAATGGTCTTGAAAGGAAACGTCGATGAGACATTGAACAGGAATGTCCTGATTAGGTATAAAACATTATTTACCCATTCTTGGTTTTTGTCTACGTGTCTTGATTGCATATTTAAATATTCAGCATTACCAGAAAGAGACAACACTGGATGAGGATGTGGGTCTATAATCCTCTGTATTTGTGTATGACTGTTTAATTAGGCCTAAGTGTGGATTTCTCCTATAATTAACTCTAATTAGGGTTAGCCTACATGCTGAGAATAAACATGGGGAAAACACATCAAGATTCATCTCCAGCCACAACACTGAGCCCTAACGCTCTATTAGCACTTCAGAGAGAAGACGCCTCCAATCAGTTCCTCCTTTCCAAAGGATTATTTTAATGCTTACATGACTCTAGCTTCCTAATTCAGGACAGAACTGCCCTATTCTGATTGACCCAGGCATCTTTATATCCTGTAATAAAATGTGTTCTTCATAAGAACTTTAGAAAAATCACTGATCTTTGGACTATGAGCTCAGTTAAAGTGTTTTTTTAAAGGGTTTACAAAACCCTGCACATTAATCCAACTTGAAAACTTTCAAATGAGGACAATAAGGTAAAATCTCTGCACGTTTAAGAGGTTCAGGCAACAAAGGTTGGAGTTCTGTTCAAAGCAACACATGAACGGACACGAGCACACGCGACAGATGACAGGAGTCTCTGGTGGGACCTGACTCGAGCGCATTTTTATTGAACGTTTATAACTGTTAAAAACATGTATAAAATTGGTCCTGTTTCAGAAACAAGGCACGCATAGTCATGTCAATGTTCAGTGTTCATGTCATTATTAGCATTGTCATTGATCAACAGCATCATCAGCACGTTCCATCTCAATAATCATCTCAAATTTGTCTAATAGTAGTATCAAGCATTCCCTAATATAAAAACATGTATCAATTTCTTTTTTTGTTCATCACAGAGGTTAAAATTTTATTCCGAGCAGCAAGACAATATTCATGCAAAGACAGAGTGGAGGAGAAGATGCGAGCTGACTGGACTGACGGGTCTTTAATAGTAGGTCTCCCGCTCCACCCAGCCTGGACACAAAGACAACAGAACACAGCAGGTTAAAGGCAGCTTCTTGGGTCGTAAACTTTATCTAAAAGCATGCAAAGAAACTGGATGATGGCAGAGACGATGTAAAAGAGGAAGGGCAGCTGATGTGGAGAAAGAGGCACACGTGCACCAAAACAAACAGAAGTAGGAAAACAGAGGAGAAGATTATGAAAGCCTGGACTGTGGACTCACCTCCTGGGCTGCGTCTGAGGATCAGCTTACGGATTTCATCATAGATGAAGATGAGCAGGGAGTAGGGGAAGGCGCAGAACCACCAGTTGGGCCTGACAACACACAAGAGCCAGATGAGAAACGACCCAGATGAACAACATGTGGGAGGTGCTACAGGCAAGATTAGAGTCAGCTATCGGCGCTTTACACAAAGAGTTCTTTGCAATATACTCACTTGAGAGGGTACATTCTGAGGGCCACGTCCATGCCGGGGCAGTAGGACAGGAAGGCGGCCAGAGCGGTCTCTTCAAACAGCCCGAAGATCAGGATTTTGTTCCTGAAACACACAGAAGAGCAATGAGACCCAAAATAAGACAAACACATGAATCCAAGTGACTGGAAATAGATTCTGTCATCTTGGTGCCAGGACTGTAAACTCTTGGTACTGAGCCAAAGGACTGCAGCAAACCAGTTCAATAAAGTCCATCTTGTTGAAAGCCCAAAACGAGCCGCAGGGTCAACCAGAGTTCCTCCTGCAGCAACAGACCGGCTGCTATGACGTGGCCTTCAAGACTGTATGTCAGGACAGACCTTTCCGTTTCACTCACTTCATGCCCTGCTGGAAGACGGAGTTCCTCCTGGTCTTACAGATGATCAGATCGGCCCACTGCACGATCACGATGCTGACGAAGAAGGCTGTGTGGCAGGTGAACTCCACGATCTTTCTCTGCTCGTAAGTCTGACACAAAGAAAGCACACACGTCACACAGCAGGCCGCCAACAACATCCTGACATGTGGTCTTCCTAGAAATGGTACCGACCCACTGCTGTCCATAGCTGTCCTCCAGGTCATTGATGTACTTGTTGTCCCAGGACACTCTGATGCCCACCAGGGTGGAAGGAAGGAAGCCGTTTTCAGCCAAGATCACAAAGTAGGTGAAGAAACCTGCTAACGCCTGGATCATACCTGCAGGAGGGAGAGTCGATGAAAACGGACACCAAACCACATCAGTGTGATACCGTGGAGTCTGTGGATTAACGTTTAGGAAGCGAAGGAATGGAAAAATGCTGCTAACTAGTCGAGTTTGATCTCAAACCAGGAATCAGTAAATGATGGAGTCAACATCCACTGGCCTTTGGTCTTTTAGGAAATAAGACCAATGACTTGCTGTCAGTGTGACCAGCCGGTCCGTTATTTGGGTTCAGGACCAAACCACTTGTCACCAGATGAATGAATGAATGAATGAGATCAGAACGTGTTTGAGGAACTGGAGGCTTCATGGAAATCATTTATAGGCCAAGTTAATGTCATTTTTAAATGATCACGACATGAATAACGAATGATCCATAAAGGTTTGGCAAATCCTGAACAACACGAGACTTTAATCGCACTGATTGGTCCAAATGATGCTCTTGCTTCATGTTCAGTGGCGACAGTGTTGAAATCCTAGAGAAATGCAAAACTTGTTTGCTTGCTTGTGTTGTGAACTTATAAGGCAGCCAACAGCAGTCAGAGAGCTCCAACCTATTCTTGGCTTCATTACCGAAGAGGGAAAAATCAGAACCAGAGACACAGCTCTATCACCACTCAGACACACAACATGCGAACACTCGGCTCTCTATCAGCAGAGGCCTATTTATGGCGCCGGCCGCTCCGCCTGTTATCGAGGAGCACCCAGATTACTGAGCTGCCTTTCCAAACATCTCCCTGCAAAGCATGGACAGCAAAACTCCTGGTTTGGTTTCAGGACACTACCTGGTAGATTCTGGATTGAAATCAAGGCTAAAAGATGCGTCTGTTTACCGATTTGTCCGTAGGCGATGCTGATGAGCCTCTCGTTCACCAGTTTGTCTGTTTTGGGGTTTCTGGGCTGTCTCTTCATGATGTCGCTCTCAGCTGCTTCGTAAGCCAGAGAGATGGCAGGGACCTTGAGACAGGACACCGAGTCAGGACATCTCAACCAAGAATTACAAAAAAGTATGTTTTCTGTTACAGATGTCAACTCCCACATAGCCCAGATGGTAACGTGTGAATAACGAGAATGTTTTACATGAAAGCAGAAGAAATCTGGTTCATCTTTACCATGTCGGTTCCCAGATCGATGCACAGGATGGTGACGGTTCCCAGGGGCAGCGGGATGCTGGCGCAGATGAAGAGGAGGAAGGGTGTAATCTCAGGGATGTTACTGGTCAGAGTGTAGGCAATGGACTTCTTCAGGTTGTCAAAGATCAGGCGACCTGATTTGAAAGTGACACAAAAGCCTCGTTTTAGCAGTTTCAGGGATTTCAACCATAACCTTGCACATGTACAGATCCACTGAATTAGTATCATTTCATGCTCGATCACACATTACGCAGCTCAAAGAGGCATCAGACGATGATTCACAATTTGTTACCTTCTTCCACTCCAGTCACGATGGAGGCAAAGTTGTCGTCCAGCAGGATCATGTCAGCGGCCTGCTTGGAGACGTCGGATCCAGCGATCCCCATGGCAACGCCGATGTCGGCCTTCTTCAGAGCAGGAGAGTCGTTCACGCCGTCACCTGTCACGGCCACGATGGCTCCCTGCAGAGAGGAGAAGTGTTGAGGGCTAAACAGATGGACGTGTTGCTTTGCTCTGGGAACACAGTCCAGGCTTGACCAGAGAAGCTGCCAGTGGTGGAAGCATCCTGCTCTACAGTCACTGTAGAACTGGTGTAAAGGTAACACGTGTCTGCTCTGGTTTGAAGTCACTACAGCTGCTTTTGAGTGACATTTCCATTTTCTAAAGTTACTCTGCTCACTGGAACAATTTCCTGTTGTTTGAAAGACAAAGCCTGAGTTTTGAAAAGGTTTCAGGGAGAAAAGAGAAAACCTCCTTTATTTGACAGCTGTGATAAAAGCAACAGAGAGGTGGGATCACATTAGCTGCTACAGTGGAATAAGGGAGATGTGCTGCTGCTCGCCACTTAATCAGCCTGTGGGACATCCTACAAAGAAGAAGCTGTACTTGAGATACCGGTCATTAGCTTCCCCACACAACGCTAACAGCTGGGGCTTCCACTCACTAAGTGCACCTTTTAAATATACATGAAGAATAAGGCTGACAGTTCTGGGAAGTAGAAATATTTATTGCTACCATGCATTAAATGTGCACCCCTGAACTACAAGGACTATCATTTATGACACCAACTGCAGCAGAGTTACGCTCCTTTAAGCTTGTGAGTGGACATCGATCAGAACATTCACCTCCTGGAGCCCTGCAGGAGCTCAGAGGAGCTCAGAGGAGCTCAGAGGAGCTCAGAGGAGCTGGTGAGCTCCTGAGCAGCGAAACAGAGTTTCTGGGCTCATAAGACGGAATGAGCTCAGTCATCAATAATCCTCCTCCCATGCCTCCTCCTCCTCCATTCAGCAAATGTTAATCAGATCTGGAAGTTCGTTCAGGTTCTAGCTGTGCTTGGATCAGGAGGGACAGCACCTCCTGTGACTTGTGAATCCACAAACCTGAGTCAAATGAAGTTTGGAAAGTTTGAGCCAACTCTAGAAAAACGCATTGTTTCTGTGGCGAAGGAACCCAAGATCAGCAGATGAAACCATCAAGACCAACAACAAACATGAAACAAAGTCCACACAGCGGCTCCGCCTCCTGGTGCATCATGAATGTTCCCCTGTGAGCTCACAGCTTGACAGATGTCACGCTTCATTATTCTGCCAACTTCATCATCAGACCAGAGCAACAATCACACGTCAGCATCAGGCGAGTATCAGCATTCACTCACGCATTGACATAACGAGGCCCAGACACACGCTGTGAAACAGAACTGCCAACATGGCAGAGGCTCAGTAAGAGCAGGACATCCTCTCGCTGACACAAAAACAAAAGACAACGCTTGTGTTGTTCCCACCTGTCTCTGGCAGCCCTCCACGATGATCAGCTTCTGCTGTGGGGAGGTTCTGGCAAAAACGATCTCGGTGTGGTGCTTCAGGATGTCATCGAGCTGCTCTGCGCTCAGATCCTTCAGGTCGCCGCCGTGCACCACGCAGGCCTTGGCATCTCTGCAGGGAGAGCAGTTCCTTTAGGTCGTTCACACAGACACAGCTCTGCTTCCTCTGAGGGACGAGATACAGCAGCACTGAGAGAATACGACCGTGTCTCGTTAACGTTACCTTGGATTGACTTCATTGATTGGAATGTTCAGGCGCGCAGCGATGTCCTCAACAGTCTCGTTGCCCTCAGAGATGATACCCACACCCTTAGCGATAGCCTTGGCGGTGATGGGATGGTCAC